TTTTTAGGTAATACTTGTTATATGAATGCCACTTTACAATGTCTTAAAAGTGTACCCGAATTACGTGATGCTGTTAAACAATTTCTTCCTGCTAATCTTAGTCATTCCGGTCAAAGTAATCTGATGATTGATGGAACACAAATGGTAACAAATGCATTAAAAACAACTTATCAACAATTAGATGTAACAAGTGAAGCATTTATGCCATTGACATTTCTTGCAACAATTCACCGTGAATTTCCACGTTTTGCTGAAAAAGATGATCATGGACATTTAATGCAACAAGATGCAAATGAATTTTGGGTACAACTTATGCAAATACTTCAAATGAATATACCTGGAAAAAAAATCAGTAATGAAACAACATCAATGTCTAATATTGATAAAAGTCTTATTGATCAATATTTTGGAATAAGTGCACAAGCAATGTAAATCTTTTGTTTTGATTATTTTAAAGATAAAATTTCGTTTTTTAGAATGAAATGTACTGAAGCACCAGAAGAAACACCAACAGTATCAGAAGAACGTTTACTTCAAATGAGTTGTTTCATTAATCAAGGTAAATTTAATTTACAAAATAAATTAATATTCAAATTCTTTTTTCTTTTAGATGTCAAGTATTTAGTTACCGGCTTAAAAAATGTAAGTTCATTTTGTTAGAAGACAAATATGATGATATACATTTTTTTCTTTCATAGAGATTGGAAGAGCATATAACAAAACATTCATCGACACTTAATCGTGATGCTGTTTTTACTAAAACTGTATGAATATTTCTTTATTATAATAAATTATTATTAATCTAATTTTTATTAGACTCAACTTTCACGTTTACCTGCTTATTTGACAATTCAATTTGTACGATTTTTTTATAAAGAAAAAGAAAAAATAAATGCAAAAATTCTTAAAGTAAATTTTCTTGATAAAAAAAAAGAAAGTTTAATTTTTAATATTTGTAAAGGATGTTCAATATTCAATGGTACTTGATATTTTTGATTTATGTACACCGGAATTACAAAAACGTCTTTTACCAATTCGTGAAAAAATAAAAAAAGCTGAAGACGCAAAACTTGATCGTGAACGAGCTAAAGTATTTGATTTAATTTTTTTTTTGTATTAAATAATAAAAAAATCTTATTCTTTAGAAACTTGGTGAAACAGTTGTTGAACCAAAAAATTTAAGTAAATTACCAACATCATTTCCCGATGGTAATTTATTTTATTTGAATATTGTTTAAAAAGATTATTTTTTTCTTATCTTATTAATTAGATGCTGGTTCAAATAATAGTGGTTTTTATCAATTAAATGCTGTTCTTACACATAAAGGTCGATCGAGTTCAAGTGGACATTATGTTGCATGGGTTCGTCGTAATCAAAGTAAATAGATAATTGAAAATCTTCTTTTATTAATCTTTGAATTTTTGTTAATTAGCTGAATGGCTTATGTTTGATGATGAAAATGTGACACCAGTAACTGAAGAAGATGTATTGAAGTTATCAGGTGGTGGTGATTGGCATACAGCTTATTTACTTATTTATGGTCCAAGAACAATTGAATATGAAGAAAAAGCCGATGAAGGTGCAAGTGGTGAATCAAATGTTAGTGCTATGGATACAACAACATCAGCAAACGGAGCAAGGACTTAAAACTTGATTCGTTAGCTTACTACTTTTTTTTTTATTAAACAAATTTACATTCTGTATGCGTGCGTGTTATCATGTTAATTTCGCAAAGCGATTTCAAACAAATAAAAATAAACAAGAAATATTAAATTATAGTTGACAATATCATGAAGATCTCAAATGAAATAGTTGAATTGTCATAGGAAGACAAATAAATTCTTGATTAAATTCAACTCAGTTAAATAGAAGGAAGTCGAATATAGTAATATCTGATAGATATAAATTTCCGACTTTATACGGTTCATAGATTCTATTGATTAGAATTGTTCAGGATGTGGGCAATTGAAAACGTAGAACAGTTATTTTCATTAACATTACGAATACATCATTTTCAATAAAGCGTCATTTTTCTCATATGTTCATGGTTATATCGAAGTTCTTTCAGAACTTCCTTAGCTTATTCATCAATATATGTATCCAATGATTAGTAATGTTTTAAGTTTGATGTTTTAATCATACAAGTCAAGTACATAAAACTAAATCGTTAAATGATTGATAACTCTATGTATTGACTTTGTTCAATGAACATACACATAGTCATCTTTCATCTTACATTTGTCTCTCCCTCTCTCTCTTTATCATCATTATTAAAAACATAAGTTGTAATTGATTTACTATACATCTTTAGATGAGCCTAAGATTTTCTTCAAACGAATGGACGATATTGGTAGTGTATATTAAATGTTTGAACTTGTCTAACATCTGTCTCTTGAAATTATAGTTTTGTTTTTATTAACATAAAATTATAATGCAATTCGCAAATTTAAAAAGACGTGACATGAGAGCATTGCCTGACAATTTCAATGATTCATATTCTTCGACTTCCTTCATAATTGAAAAAAAGAAAAAAATATATAGTAATACTTGCAGTCGTCTATGTTGATACTAGCCTATTACATTTATAATTCATGAATTATATTCGATACCTGGATATTATTGGTTATTTCAAAAATGCTGCTATTTATTTACTGATTCATAATTTAACCTCAAATAACTAACCTTGAAAAAAAAAAGAATATAGTTTACCTATTTTCGATGATTACTTAAACCCTCATAGAAATATCTCTCAGTTTAACATCACTATACGAATATTTGGTGAAGGTGAAATTAAAAGGTGTAAATATTTGATCCATCGAAGTCGTGCACTCTACCACGATTTGTATAAACAACACTGTGTGAAGGATGCATACTTCTCAGGAATATGAAAAGTTTCAGTTTTGTATGTGAATAAAAAGCAGATTTCGTATTCTATACGAATATTTAATTACATGTTTTTAGTCTTGAATCAGTGACGTAGTTATACAGTATAGTCATAATTTGTCTAGTAGACCAGTTTAAAATTTCTACATGAATCAACATTCAACAATAGTTTGCAATTGCTATGCTACTTAAATTTAAAAACAAAAATGTTCAAACAATAAAAAGTAAAGAGAAAAATTGAAGAAATAATTATATAAAAATATGTTGATATGGGAACTGGAACGTAACAAGTTGCTCATATATATATTAAAAATAGTTTTGTTTCAATCTTGTAATCACAAAAAATGACCAGAAGGCTTTATTATTCATAAGAATACAAGGTTTAAAAACATCTGCTTATCTTTGTCAATAACACGAAATTAGATTAATAAATCTATTTAAAAAAAAATTCTACATATGAAAAAATTATTTTTAAGAATTCTTGCACTCAAAAATCAGAATTTTAATGCATTGTTTTCTTTTTAAAAGAAAAGCCATCGTTAAATATACCGTCATAACAAATCTTTCTAATACCACCTATCCTTCACATATTTAACATTCATAATAACATATTTATTCAAAACTCAAACCATGCTATGGTTACGTTTTTTTTTCTTCTCTATTAATTTTTATTTTCATTACATATACCTAGCCATGACTTACTGCCATCTGGTAAATATAATTGTTAGTTTTGTTCGCGCTTCCCTATAGCAAGAACACCATATTACTTAGCAACCATTGCCTCGCTCAATAAAAATGCATGTTAAGCTTACTTACGCGGCGTTATAGCTTGTTGTCTGAAAGGCTGTTCGTCTCTTTTCTCTCTCTCTCTCTCGTATTTCATTGTACGAATCTAGATTTTCTTTCTCTCTTTTTATTTCTTATATAAATAGAGCAACTATTCATTTGTGCTTCACTCATCATCATCATCATCGTTATTTAGCGTGAGTTGATATTAACTATATATATATTTCATTGATTTTTATAATTATTTTCTTAAATAGAAATCTCAAAGCCAAAATCATGACTGATCGTAAAGCTGTTATTAAAAATGCTGATATGTCAGAAGACATGCAACAAGATGCTGGTAAATTATTTAATATTTTTAATTATCATATAAATCATTAATATCTATTTAGTTGATATTGCAACACAAGCTCTTGAAAAATACAATATTGAAAAAGATATTGCTGCTTATATTAAAAAGGAATTCGACAAAAAATATAATCCAACATGGCATTGGTATGATTAACTATTCTTTAGAAAAAAACAAAATCAAATTAATTCTTTTTTTCTTCTTCTAATTTAGTATTGTTGGTCGTAATTTCGGCTCATACGTAACACATGAAACTAAACATTTCATTTATTTTTATTTGGGACAAGTTGCTATTTTACTCTTTAAATCAGGTTAAATATGAACAAACATTACCGAACTGTATTCTTAGAGAGGTTATTATTGTAAAAAATAAAATAAAAATCTCATTCATTTTCATCTTTTATTTATTTATTTATAATGCATGCATACGCGCGCGCTTTTTACTTATTACATAATTAGAATATCAATAATGAAGATAAATGAGTTGAAAATTTTAACAAAGAATATTTCTCTACAGATGAACTTGATTCTATTGTTCCATAATGATTTTCATGTAAAGGACATTATTGTCGAGGGTTGATTATTATAAGATTGACCTCAATTGCTTATGACATACACACTCTATCTGTTTTCCATTAAGTCATTAACATATTATAGCTTATGCTGACATATATTGTGACACTCATTAATATTGATTTAGAATATTATCTATTGGTTCTACTTAAACACATCAACACATTCCATATTCATACAAAAAAAAAAGATTTTTTCATAACTAAAAATCAAAAAGGCAACAGATATTTTGATTGAAATAAACGTCATCAATATTTTCTTGGTTGCTTTCAAGTTATTGATGAAAATAATTAACAATGAAGGTTTATTCTGTTTTTTTATAAGATTAAAAATAAAACTATGTTGAATATATGATCTTCATAGATGATATAATTTACAGTCTATAACACATGAGTAAATACTCGTATATTTTCATATAAGAAATATAATACAGTCTTCTTAAGTTATACTATTCTATTCCTTTGATTATCAATTTTAACATTGGTTATACAAATAATATATGAAACAATAGCTAGTCAATGTTAATATGGTAAAACTTTGTAATAAGCCAATAGTAGTTGAGAGCAAGTTTAATTGGAGAGAGTTTCTCCAATGAATATTATTTTTTGTTGGATAAATAAAGATTAATTTTTATTTTTGCGACATGAAATTCTCCGAAAAACAAAACAGTTACAGCATAAATTATAAGTAGGTAAAATCGATTTGTCTCTAATAGAAAAATTAATATAGTTAAATTAGGAATGTTAAGATAAGACGAAAAATATGTACGAGATAAGCAAGAATTTATTTCAAATATTTTTAATCAATTTTACTTAGAAAAAAAAAACAAATTATTTATAGTGCTTTTTATGTACTGGAAAAATTTATTTTATTAGTAAGAAGACAAGTTTTTAAGTAAAATAGAAATATACTTTTTTCGGTAGTTATTATTTATTAAAACAAATTAGGTAAATATCATTGTATTTTGTTCAGTGAAGTTTATAAAATATTATTTTCTTGTTTATTAGTAGTTTTTCTAGATTACAAATGTATTTTACGAACATATATTTTAATCTTTATTTACGTAAGATTATTGAAAGATATACATATGGATTTTTATTTCATTTTTTATTTATTCAGTAAATATTTTTATCGATATAATATTCTTCTAGAATAATTAACTGTAGATTGTTTTCTTTTTCATAGACAATATATTTAGGCGTCTTTTTTTTTGTCGCTCAGAAAATCCATTCATGCGTAGAAAATACGATTTTTTCGTTTTGTTATATTTTTTTATTAAAATCCGGAAAAAGAAAAAACATAGCGTATGTTGTAATTTAAAATATGATGTTAGTTTATCTAATCAACACGTTTGTACCAACGACGTGCTTTAACTGAGCCAGATTCCATATCCTACCATTGGAAAAAAATAACAAATCAAAATAATAAAGAAAAGAAACAAAGAAACTTACAATCATTTGTTGACCTTTATCATCGACATAACGGGTTACAACTGATTTTTTACCATTTTTATCGATAGTTGTGTGTACCCATTTATTGCCTTCAAATTTAATAGTAGACTAAACAACACAAAAAAAATGAATAATTTAGATAGGAAAAACGAATGTTCATTTACTTTAACTTCACGTCCATCAGCTGTTGTTTCATCGAATTCAACACCAGGTGTAAAATCATATGAAAGAGTTTTAATTGCACTTTCTGTTCTGACAGTCCATTTACCACCAGCTTCACTTATAATAAGACGGGGTTTAACACCTTTAGCAGTCAAACGCATTGCCCATCCTACACCAATTTCTTTCATATATTCATCAAAATTTTCACCATCAAGCTAGAAATATCAATAGAAATATTTTCTAATAAAAATAGTCTTTTTTTGTTTCGGTATACATACATAATCCCAACTACCTTTAAGGCCTTGAACTCCAGTGCTATCCATAGATATATATCTGTCGATTTATTTAGAAGAACTAGTAAGAAAGATAAGAGAAATCTAAAAGTATATATATATATATGTATGTATGTATATAAACAAGTATAGATTAAATAAATACGAAAAGACTAAAGAAAGATAGATACGAATCACCGATGGATATATGTGGTTTGAATAGTTACTATTAACAATATGTATCCTACATAACTACACACATACATTCGAATTTATACAACGTAGCCATGCGTCAACGTTGCTAGTGAAAAAGAAAAAAAAACAGAAAAGAGAAAAAAAAATCAAACCTATTATAGTAAAATGCCTACATCATAGTATTCTTCAAAATTAAATGCATAGCATTGATATATATATATATATATATAAGGGAACCAGATTGTTATATCAATAATTAAAAAAAA